TGATGTTGAGGTATGTTCCTTGTATCCCAAGAATTTCAAGGGCTTTTATCATGAATGGGTGTTGCACTTTGTCGAAAGCTTTCTCAGCATCTATTGATATTATCATATGGTTTTTATATTTCTTTTTGTTGATGTGTTGGATAACGTTGATTGATTTTCGGATGTTAAACCATCCTTGTGTCCCTGGAATGAATCCAACTTGGTCGTGGTGAATTATCTTATGGATACATTGTTGGATTCTGATAGCTAAAATTTTATTGAGGATTTTTGCATCAGTGTTCATTAGGGAGATTGGCCTGTAGTTTTCCTTTTTTGTGTTGTCCTTATTCGGTTTTGGTATTAGTGTAATATTGGCTTCATAGAACGTGTTTGGTATTGTCCCTTCCTTCTCAATTTTTTGGAAGAGTTTGTGAAGGATAGGCACTAATTCGTCTCTGAATGTTTGGTAGAATTCCTTTGTAAATCCATCAGGTCCTGGGCTTTTGTTTTTGGGGAGGTTTTTGATTACCATTTCAATTTCGCTAATTGTAATTGGTCTGTTTAGGTGTTCTATTTCTTCTTTATCTAGCTTTGGGTGATTGTAGAGTTGTAGGAATTTGTCCATCTCCTCTAGATTGTTGAACTTGTTTCCATATAACTGTTCATAGTAGTTACTGATTATTCTTTTGATTTCTGCTGTGTCCGTTGTGATTTCTCCTCTTTCATTTATGATCCTGTGTATTTGTGCTTTCTCCCTTTTTTCCTTTGTGAGCCTGGCTAGGGGTTTGTCTATTTTATTTATTTTTTCAAAGAACCAGCTCTTGGTTTCATTGATCTTTTGGATTGTTTTTTTAGTTTCAATTTCATTTATTTCTGCTTTGGTTTTTATTATTTCTTTTCTTCTACTGGTTTTGGGGTTTTTTTGTTGTTCTTTTTCTAGATCTTTGAGCTTCGAGATTAGGTTGTTTCTTTGAGTTCTTTCTTGTTTTTTGATGTGAGCTTCTATTGCTATATATTTTCCTCTTATTACTGCTTTTGCTGCATCCCATACATTTAGGATATTGGTGTCCTCCTTGTCATTCAATTCAAAGAATTTTTTAATTTCTTCTTTGATCTCCTCATTAGTCCAGTGGTCTTCCAGTAGTGTGGCTTTTAATCTCCATGAGGTAGGATAGTTCCTTGCCTTCTTTTTATGTTTATTTCTAGTTTGATGCCTTCGTGGTCAGAAAAGATGGTTGGTATGATTTCAATCTTGGTGTATCTGTTGATGTTTGTCTTGTGCCCCAGTATGTGATCGATCCTGGAGAATGATCCGTGTGCGCTTGAGAAAAATGTGTACTCCGTTTTTTTGGGTTTAGTGTTCTATAGATGTCTGTTAAGTCCAAATGCTCTAGGTCCTTATTTAGAGCTTTAGTTTCTTTACTTATTTTTTGTCTTGTTGATCTATCCATTGTTGATAGTGGTGTGTTGAAGTCTCCCACTACATATGTGTTTTCTCTGATGTCTGTTTTCAGAGAGGACAACAGTTGTCTGATATATTTTGGTGCTCTTTCATTTGGTGAGTATATGTTAATGAGTGTTATTTCTTCTTGAAGTATTGTCCCCTTGATCATAATGTAGTGACCATTGGGGTCTCTTTTTATTTTTTTGAGTTTGAAGTCTGTTTTATCTGATATAAGTATAGCTGTTCCTGCTTTCTTTTTTGGCCCATTTGCTTGTAGGATTGTTTTCCATCCTTTGACTTTGAGCCTATTTTTATCTTTTGTAGCTAAATGTGTTTCCTGGAGACAGCAAAAGGTTGGGTTTTGTTTCTTAATCCAGGCTGCAACTCTGTGTCTTTTTATTGAAGAGTTTAGTCCATTTACATTTAGAGTTAATATTGATATATTAGCATCTGTATTTGCCATTGTGTTTGTCTTTCCTTTGATTTTATTTATTTATTCTTTTAATAACTTTTTTTTTTTTTGGTCTTTTTTCGTTGTTATTCGTCCCTCTGAGGTTCTGGCTTTAGGATTCCTTGTAGTATTTTTTGGAGTGGGGGTTTAGTCGCAATGAAATTCCGGAGTTTCTCTTTGTCTGGGAAGGTCCATATTCTTTCTTCATGGAGGAAAGAGAGCTTTGCGGGATAGAGTATTCTTGGTTGGCATCTGTTTTCTTGGAGTCTGTTGACTATGTCCCTCCACTCTCTCCTTGCCCGTAGTGTTTCTTCAGAGAAGTCTGATGTCAGCCTGATTGGTTTTCCTTTGAATGTTATCTGTTTCTTCCCTCTTGTCAGCTTCATTATTTTTTCCTTGTCCTGGATTCTTGGGAGCTTTACTATTATGTGTCTTGCTGTGTTTTTCCTTTCGTCGTGGAACTTTGGTGTTCTTCTTGCTTCTTGTATATCAATTTTCAGCTCCTTCTTCGCATTTGGGAAGTTCTCTTCAATTATCTCCTGGAATATTTTCTCTGTTCCTACATCTCTCTCCTCTCCTTCTGGAATTCCTATAACTCTTATATTTCCTTTCCTCATGGAGTCAGATAGTTCCCGGAGTCTTTCTTCATTCTTTTTCCTTCGTACTTCTCTTTCCTTTTCTGTTTTGGTTCTTTTTATTTCTGTGTCTTCAAGAGTACTTATTCGTTCTTCCATTTCATCTATTCTGCTTTCATTGCTTTTCCCAGAGTTCTTTAGTTCCTCCATTAATTCTTTGATCTCCTGCATTTCTTTTACTTCCCTCTTTAGGGACTCAATTTCATTCTTCTGACCATTGTTTTCCCTCTTTAGGGACTCAATTTCCTTCTTCTGATCTATCACTTTTTTAATCATGGCAATTTTAAATTCTCTTTCTGAAAGGCTCAGAAGTTCTTCCAAGTTGCTGTCGTTGCAATCTGGGGAGTGGTTTTCTTTTTGTGGTGTGCTTCTTTCCTGAGGTGTTGTTAGGGTGCGTGTGGTTCTTCTACTCCCTACTGTCTGTTTTCTAATTTGTCGTATGCGTTGGGACACTGTGTTGCTCGGACTGGCTGGCATCTTGGGTGAACTTCTCCGCTGCCCTCTGGCTCCTGCAGGAGCCATCTCTGGCTTCTGGGGGAGCTTTCTGATGGTTTTAGGCAGTTTTTACTGAAGAAATGTCCCTGTTCTATAATGGCGAAGCAGGATGCAGTCCCTGCACCTCCGGTCTCAGGCACACTCTTCTGTGTGCCCGGTCTGCCCCGGACGTGGGTGCCTGCTCCCTCTGTGGGCTCAGACTGCTGGTCGGAAGGGGCCTGGCGTGGGCTAACTTCCCGGCTGGCCACTGGGTCCTCCAGAAGCCTTCTGCCCTTCTCAAGCAGTCTTAAGAAATTTCCTGTTCTATGGGGTATTAGTGATTTTTTTTTTCCTGGTTGCTAGGTGGCGCCAGAGATCTCTCCTATTGTCCTTGGGGGGCTGTTTTTCGCCTCCCCCTACCCCGTGGGACAGGGAATAGAGCGGGAATGGTAGGGTAAGCCTCAACAGCTTTGGGGTGCTGTGTCTGCCTGGTGCCCCACCGTCGTGGAGAACCCACACCCCGAGTTTTCGTGCCCCGGGTCTCAGTTCAAAGCCCTCAGGTCCAGGACGCGGGCTGTAGCCCAGTTCAGTGGCGCGGGAATGGCGCCTTTTGCACCCGCTCCCGTGCCTGGGCGCCTGGTTCCTGCTCACTCAGGGAGGGACTTTCACCCCCGTGAGGGTCTCCGCGCATCTCCCCGCAAGCCTAGGTCGCAGGCACGGGGACCTGGGCAGCCGCGATCCGAGCGCACTTTCCCGCGCAAGCTTACCGGCAGCCCGGGCTGTGTGCGAGTCTCCCGGGGTCTTTGTTCTTCTCTAATGGCGCCCGGAGCCGTTCGCTCACCGCTGCGGCGGATCCTGCAGGGTTCTCCACAGCTCCCGTTCACGGGGTGTGGTGGCTGCAATAGTTCCTTTCCACGCACAGTCCCGCTTGCTGCGTCGTTTGTTCTTGTTGGCTGTTTTGGTTTGTTGTTTTCCTCCTCTCTGCCGGTCGGAGAGTGCCGCCTCTGTGGGCGGGGGAGGGGAGCAGGGTTCTGCGCTTCCCTCCCTTCTAGTCCTCTTTTATGGCCACTTTCTTCTTCGGGCAGTTTGCTGGCGTCACCCGTTTATCTTCCGTGTCCCAGTTCTCACTGGGACCTGCCGCTTTTCCTCCCTATTCACTTTTTTAATGGGAGATCTTACTCGCAGTGTCCCTCGCCGCCATGTTGCTCCGCCCCCCCAAGATTTTTTTTTTTATACATACAAGAGCTGGGATATAGGCCAGAGGTGTTGGGGTGAGGGGATTCACCATAGACGGAGTGGGAAGCAGAACAGGCAGATCTACTGAAATACACTGCTGAGGGGAGCAGCGGACAAGACAGGAGAGGTCTGCTGCACCATTTGGAGCATCCTGGCCTGGATTGAACTCATGCTTCAGTTGCTGTGGATAGCTTCATAGTCCTGAGATGTAACCCATTGTGCCACCATGGAGGCTGAAATTATGAGTTTTAGAAGGGGAAGGTTGATAGTAAAGGAGCAGTAACCCGGAGGTGGGTGCTCATGGAAATGCAGTACAGGGGAGGAGAGAAGAAATCAGAACTGAGCAGGAAGCCTAGGCTGAAGGTGAGCTAGGATGGGAAAAACTGGAACAAGGAAGGCAAAACCAGAGGAAGGTAGAGAGATCTTAGCAATGATTACAGTGAAGCATGGGTCTTGGTTGAGAGTTGCAATGCTCTTTGAGTATCTTCTCAAGGACACCGGAGCTGTTTTTTCTTGGAGGCACAGGAAGCCATTGGATGGCATTTACTTCTGTCTTCTCTTTTTAGCAACTTTTAGAATCTAATAGTGAGCTACACATTTTGTACCTCTAGTGATGTAAGATTTAGTGACTGATGGATACAAGATATCTGTTGATACAATTAAGGTGATGTGACTTTGGTAGCAACAACTTCCTTGCAGAGGAGAGTTTATTGTGTATAACACTAATGACACATCTAAACATGTGGCTCATAACTTGCTTTCATTTTTTTAAAAAATTCAGGACATCAATGGATATTATCAAGGGCAGTTTAGATGGAATTTCAAAACCAGCCTCAAGTTCAAGGACACGTCTTGGGAGTCGAGGTTCAACTGCATCTTTGGAGGTGCTCTCCCCGGAACCTGGGTCCTTCAAGGTACATTGTCATTGAGAAATGGTTTAAACTCCTCCTGACCGTTCAGTAATAAACCAAGGCTGTTGTAAAAATCCTGTTTTCAGTTTCCTGTTTAGAGGACGTGTTCTAGGAGCACTCAGAGATTTCTTGGAATTTAGATTAACATGAAAATACTGTTTCCTTTGTGTGTGTGTGTGTGTGTGTGTGCGCGCGTGCCTTATTTTTTCAGAATTGTACTTTGTTAAAGGCCATTTGTTAACTCTTTTCCCACAAGAAAGTTTCGTATTCTATCACCTACTATGTATGCACCATTGACTCCTGTAAAAAAGATTAAATAATTAAAAAAATGTAGTTTTGGTAAAGGCCACGTGGGATGTGTTTCGTAGATACATTTCTGGCCATGACTTCTCTTTATTTAGCACACATTTTTTTTCCTCTAATATGTTTAAACTTCACTCCCCCGCCATCCCAAATCTATGATAGGGAACAAACATGTTGAACCTTATGGTGAAAAAAAAAAATCTTTACAAATTGATGAATACAGATTTGTCTATTCTTTTAATTTATATACTAGGTGCTGCATTCAGAAACGCTTAGAGATTTTGTCTACCATGATTTCGTGCAGGAAATAGGAAGCATTATAGGCATTTTAAGCAGAAAGTGACTGAAAACAAGAATTCAGTTCCTCAAGATTAAAGGAAAGCAGAAAAGGAGGTCATGGAAGGAGATGTCCCCTGGGTTATGGTTCCCAGGTCTCTCCACCATGACTGCAATCCAGGGAGCAGTGGTTGCTGCTGCTGTTTCTTACATTGCCACAAGTTTTTCAGGACACAAAGCTGGTGACTAGACATGCACGGGTGACTGCCTTCGATCCTTATTGCTACTTTCCTCCCAGGAGCGTAGGAAGATGGCTCCCTCCTCTCTTCTGTGTCTAAATCTTGTACACATGCATCTGCTTGGATAATTCTAACATGTATCCAAAACCTTAGCTGCAAGAGACGTTTGGTGGTTTTTGCAGGTTTCGGTGGTTATGAATAAAACTGCTGTAAATATTTGTACCCTGAGGTGTTTTGTATTTTGTTTTTTAAATTTTTATTTTTCTTGGGGAAGTACCTGGAAGTGGGATCTCTGGGTTGTATAGTAGAGTATGTTTGTAAGAAACTGTCAAATGTTTTCTGTTACCACCAGAAATGTTTGACAGTTGCATTTGCTTTACATCCTCAGCAGCAGATGATGATGTCAGTTAAAAAACAACATTCTGCTAGGTCCACTGTACCTGTGATTTTCACTTGCATTTCCCCGTGACCAATAATATTACATATGTTTTCATGTGCCACATCTTCTTCTTTGAAAAGTACCTGTTCAGTTTTCTGCCTAATTTGAAAATTAGGTAGTTTAATTTGAAATTATGGTAGTTTAATGATATATTTTAATTTCTGTTGACTTTTGAGAGTTCTTTGTTTTCTAGATAGTCTTTTGATCACATGTGTAATTTGTAAAGAATTTGTCCCAATCTGTAGTTTGACTTTGCATTCTCAAAGCTGTGTCTTGGGAAGAGCAAACATTTAAATTTTTAAGTGCCGTTTATCAAAATTTTTCTTTTGAGGATTGTGCTTTTTTTGTTGTAAACAGGAAATCCTTCGCTAACTTAGTGTCTCAAAGATTTTCTTCTAAAAGTTTTACAGTTTTTGTTTTACCTTTAGGACTTGTGGCTTCTCATTGCCAGTGAGAATCTGGCTTTTGTAAGCTCAGTGTACCAATATGGTCGCCTAGCTTAGGTATTTTTCTTGCTTCCTTTAACTTTTTTGTCGTTGTGTTTTAGGTACCTACTATTAATTAGCTAGGTGTGGATTTATTATTTTTCTTTCTGGAGATTAGAACTTCCTTAAAGATTTGTGTGTGGTTTATTTTGAAAAATTCTCAGTCATTTTGTTTTCATGTTTCAAATTGCATCTTTTTTCTATTCCATTACTTTGGAATTCATATTTCATGACTGCTGAAACTTTACCCCATCCTCATGTCTCTGTCTTATTTTTAATATTTTCTATTTTTCATTTCTGTGTGGGTCATTTAGGTGACTTTTAAAAATACACTTTCTAATTTTTGAGTTATTTCCTAAACTATATTAAATCTATTCTTTGTTGAATTAAAAATTTAATGATATATTTTTAATTTCTAGTAGTTTATTTTTAAATTAATCTGTTTTTTACCATATCTTGATTTTTTCATATTTCTTGATTTTTTTATACCATTAAACTATGGGATTATCTCTATCAAATTTTTAATTATCTTAATTAAAAAATATTGTGTGGACTAATTGTTGCTTATTGTTGGTCATATTGTCATGGCTTTTGAACTTATGAAATGGAAGATTTACTATTGGGAATTTTATGGAGCCTGATTTGAAACTGTTTTCTAGAGCAGGTTTTGTGTTTGCTTCTACCAGATGCCTCGGAGGTATTACTTTCCCCCCTCATTTTTTAAATTTAGACATCCCATATGCTTAGATTACTTATAATACTCCAATAATACAAATTGGAGCCCAAATCCACATGAAATATGATCCCATGATTGTGAATTCTCAGGACTTTTCCCACTCACAACCCAGACATGGTTTTTACTCTTACCTTTTGCTCTTAGATAGATGGTGTTTCTATTGCCTACCTTCTCAAGGTAGAGTATGTATTTGAGGGCTCCATCTTTACGGAGCCACAGAGGGTTTTTTCCCCATTGTATTACATGGGCCCCATGATTCATCTCCTACCTTCCTGTGTGTTAAAATCCAGGCCCAAAGCTCTCTGAATTTAGCATATTCCCCCAACTAGGTGAGTCGATTTAAGGATTCACCAGGTTTTTTTTTTTTTTTTTAAATATCTATCTATTTATTTATTTATTTATTTTAAATAATAAATTTTATTTTTATATTCCCCCATACAATTGCAACCCCCCCATTCTGACCCCAATCCCTCCCCTCCCGTCCCCCACCCCCCATAGAGTGTCTCTGGTTCATAGTTTTTCGTTGATTTTGATTTTCACTTTCTTATAGTTATTCATTTTCCTGGTCCCTTATTTAAGTTTTCTAGATTCCTGCTATGAGTGAGACCATCCGGTATTTTTCTTTTTCTTTCTGGCTTATTTCACTGAGCATGATCCCTTCCAGCGCCACCCATGTTGCTGCAAATTGCATGTTGTTTATCTTTTTTGAATGCTGAGTAATATTCCATGGTGTATATGTACCACATCTTCTTGATCCCGTTATCTATTTTTGGGCATTTGGGCTGTGTATTTACCCAAAGGACACAGAAACATCAATTCCAAAGAACACCTGCACCCCGATGTTTATAGCAGCACTATTCACCAGGTTCTTTTAAACTACTCTCCACGGCAATTTCCTTAATGTCATTGTGACCCTCTATGCTCTTCTAAGTAGTTTTGACTTACTCAATTTTTCTTATAATCCAAACAGGAATCTAAAACCAATTTTAGCTTCTTTGGTCCTAGGCATAGTGATTATAAGCCTAAACTGTAGTCATGGGTTCAAATTAGGATATTTTTGGTAAATTCAAGTCAATTTCTTCAATTTTGTGCTAGTTTCCTTATCTGTTGTTCAAAGGGGTAATAGTACTATCCACCTACAAGTCATGTTGTGGGAATGAAATGAGTTTAAAAAACTAGCATTAAATAAAATTGCTGTAGTAGTATTTCTCATTCTGAAAATTTGGTTTATTGTTGCTTATGGATGTTTTTCTTGAAAGAGTCAGTGGTTGTAATGGGATTGTTAGTGAGGGTTTTTAAAGGGTCTTTAACATTCCTGGGATTAACAATAGAGATAGGGAGTGGGAGACACGGAACAATGAAAAAAATGGAGGTGGGATTTGGCATTGAGAATGAAGAGTAAAGGAAATGGTACATTTAAACCACAGGGTACAGAAGGGGGGGTTCAGCATAGAGTGGCTGGTGGTCAATAGGATGAGGAAGATAGTTGACAGCTGGTGGGATGGGGAGCTCTGGAGACCAACCACTAAGGAAAGCTGTGTGGAGGACACTCAAACTACTAAAAATGGATTTACTGTATGACCCAGCAATTCTACTCTTAGGAATCTACCCAAAGGACACAGAAACATTAATTCTAAAGGAAACCTCCACTCCTATGTTTATTGCAGCATTATTTACACAGCTAAGATATGGAAACAATCTAAATGTCCCTAAACAGATGACTGGATCATGAAGATGCGGTATGTATACAGTGGAGTACTACTCTGTGATCAAAAAAGATAAAGTCATGCTATTTGTGGCAATCTAGATGGAGCTGGCAGGGATTATGCTCAGTGAAATATGTCAGAAGGAAAAAGAAAAAATCAGATGGTTTCACTTATAGGAAGAATATAGGGCAAACAAACAAGGGATCAGGACAAGAAAAAGATAAAACTAGTAGGCAAAGCATAAGTAGGAGACATTCAGCGGTGGGGGGGATGGTGTGTGGGGGGTGGAGGAATCAAAACGGGCAGGAAGAGCACCAAAGACTGGTGAATGCATCCAGGGTGCTTGGTGGTGGGAATTTCATGGGGCCTACACCTGAGAGGAGAAATCAAACATTGTACAAAAGTAAACAATGATGTAAAAAATAAATATATAAATAAAAAAATAAATCTAATACTACAATTAAGTTACATTTAAAATAAGTATATATTTCTAAAATACCTAGTTGTTCGTATATACGTGTGTATATGCAAACCCCATCAATATTCCCATTAGTGTTAAAATAATCTAAAACTTAGTTTTTAAAAAAACACTTTATTTAAAAAATTATTTATTTATATATTACATAATTGGTCCTTTTTTTTTTTTTTACAGTGTTTGCTTGCTTTTCTTAGATGTAGTCCTCCCTCATAGAATTCCCACCACCAATTCACCTGTGCACCGTCACCATAGTCCCTTGTTCTGTTCCCGCCCTCATTTTGAACCCTTTTCCTCCTGCTCCCCTGCAGAATGTCTCAGATTTATGGTTGTCTGTTTATTTTTGTTTTGTTTTGTTTTGTTGTGTTAAAAAAAAGTTTTTTTTAAAAAAAAACTCTGTCTTTGGAAATAATTTTTAGGTTGATACTACAATCAAGATGAGCTCTAGTAAAGAAGGCCACTCGGAAATCAGTAATGCAGAAGACTGTAGAAACAGAAATGATGACAAAGAGGAAAACTATTATGAGAAAACAAAATTGGTTGAAGAGGGGTCAGATGAAAATCCGAACATGGTTCAACATCAGACAGTCCCTGAATGTTCAGGTAGGGTACTCATTAGGTGATTGGGTAATGATAATTACAGATGTTAAAATATTATTATGACATGTTCCTATAAGCTAAGTAGAAATAATAGAAAAAGGGGCATACCTTCTTTATGAGCTATCAAGCAATAAGTTAAATTTATTCCAAGGTAATTAATTCTTTATGCTGCGATTATAAATTGGATTATTTGCCTGGTTTCTCTTTTTGCTAGTTCATTATTTGTGCTACAAACAACCAATTTTTGTATATTTATTTATAACCTTCCACCTTACTCTGTTTATTATTTCTAATATCTTTCACTGGAGCCATTGGGATTATTTAATATTATATTATAATATCTCTGCAAATAGTAATAGTTTTACTCATTCATTTCCTATTTGGATAACTTTTGTATCCTTGTCAGTTTGTTTTTGCTAGGATTCCCAACACTACACAACACTATGTTGTATAGCAGTGGTGAGAGTGGGCAGTCTTATCTTGTTCTTGATCTTAGAGGAAAACCTTTCATCCCGTGCCCCTCCATTGACTGTGGGTTTATCATATATTGACCTTATTATGTTGAGGTTCCTTCTATCCCCATATTGTTGAGGGCTTTTATCATAAAGAATATTATGTCTTGTTCAATGTATTGTCTGTGTTTAGAGATAATCACATGATTCCTGTGATATTGACTTACATATATTGAGCCATCTTTGCATCCCTGAACTAAATCCCACTTGCTTATATCTGATTCTTTTAATGTATTGTTGAATTTGGCTTGCTAGTGTTTTGTTGAGGATTTTCACATCTGTTTATCAGAGATTGGTCTATAGGTTTTTTTTTTCTTTTTTGATGTCCTTGTCTGCTTATGGAATCAGGGTAATATTGACTTCATAGACTGTGCTGGGAAATTTTCCCTCCTTTTCAATTTTGTGGATAAACTTGAGAAGGAGAAGTATTAATTCTTTTTTTTTTTTAATAGAGGCATGTTTTTTCATTTATTTGTTTGTTTGTTTGTTTGTTTTTTATACATGCACTGGGTACAGTCAGAAGCGCAGGAGGGTGAGAGAATTCACCAGAGCCAGAGCGGGGAGCAGAGCAGGCAGGAGGACCGAAGTACACTGCTGAGGGGAGCAGTGGGCGGCAGGAGAGGTCCGCGCGCCATGTGGGACCCTCCTCCGGTGGCCGGGGAGCAGCCGGGGATCGAACTGGCGCTGCAGAGGCTGCAGGCAGCTTCGCAACCCAGCGCTCAACTGCTGCGCCACCGGGGAGGCCCAGAAGTATTAATTCTTCTTTGAAAGTTTGAGTAGAATTCACTAATGAAGTGTGGTGCTGTTCTTTTGTTTCTGGGGATGTTTTGGATCACTGTTTCAATTTCCTGGCTCAGGATGATTCTGTTCAAGTTTTCTTTTTCTTCCTAAGTGAGTTTTGGAATGTTATATGTTTCTAAGAATTTTTTCATTTCTTAACATTGCCCAATTTATTGCCATAAATTGTTCATAATACTCTCTTATGATCCTTTATGTTTCTATGGTATCTGTTGTAACTTCTCTTCCTTCAGTTGTGATTATATTTTTGTTGTCTGGCTATTCTTTGTATATCTGACTAAAAGCTTGCTTATTTTGTTAATCTTTTTAAGGAACCACCAGTTGGTTTCATTGATCTTTCTTTTTGAGCCTTAGCTGCTTAGTAATTTACTTTAATTTTTATAATTTCCTTCTTCCTACTCACTTTTGGTCTTGCTTTTTCTACTTTTTCCAGTTTGTTTAGGTGTAAGCTTTTATTTTCCATATGCGGTTTTCTTTCCTATACTTCTGTGACTTTCTCTCTTAGTATTGCTTTTGTTCTGTTTCATAGGTTATAATTAGTCCTGTCTTCATTTCCATTCTTTTCTGGGTGATATTTGATTTCACCTTTGAGTTCCTGACTGACTTAATGGTTTTTCATAGAATGTTGTTTGTTCTCCAGAGATTTGTCATTTAGTCCTTCTCTCTTTTAGTTTTTTTTTATACCATTAAGATCTGAAAAAAGTGCTGGATATGATTTTAGTCTTTACAAATTTATGGAGATTTGTTTTATGTCCTAACATATGTCTGCTTTTGAGAATGTTCTTTGAACCCTTGAAGAAAAACTGTTTTCTGGGCCTCCCCGGTGGCGCAGTTGTTGAGCGCTGGGTTGCGAAGCTGCCTGCGGCCTCTGTGGCGCCGGTTTGATCCCCGGCTGCTCCCCGGCCACTGGAGGGGGGGTCCCACATGGCGCGCGGACCTCTCCTGCCGCCCGCTGCTCCCCTCAGCAGTGTGCCTCGGTCCTTCTGCCTGCTCTGCTCCCCGCTCTGGCTCTGGTGAGTTCTCTCGCCCTCCCGTGCTTCTGACTGTGCCCAGTGCTTGTATAAACAAAACAAACGAACAAATAAATAAACAAATAAAACATGCCTCTATTAAAAAAAAAAAAAACTGTGTAAAAAGAAAGTTAGATAAGTTTAAAAAAAAAAAAGAAAAACTGTTTTCTGCTGTTCTGGGTAGAGTGCTCTCTAAGTATGCAATGAGTCCATCTCTTTTGTCACTTCAGGCTGTGGTTTCTTTTTTGGTTTTCTGCCTGGTTGATCTGTGCACTCCTGTAAGTAGAATGTTGAGCTCAACCCATTTAGATGTTAACATTTGCTTTATATACTAGGGCTGCTATGTTAGGGGCATTTATGTTAATTATCATTATGTCTTTCTGTTGTTTTGATCCCTTTATCAGTATGTCATGTTCATCTTTGTCTCATGCTGCCCTGTTTGGCTTGAAGTCCATTTTATTTATTATCGGTCATTCCTGTCTTTAAAAAATTTTCATGAAAAGAAAATTTCAGTGACTTGTAGTACTAGTTTCTCTCCCTACACTTTATATCTGTGTTTGTCTTTATAGCTTAAGTGAGTTTCTTTGTATAAGGATATAGTTTTTTTTTTAACTTCATCCCACCCCTCTGTGACTTTTGATTAGTGAATTCAGCCCATTTACATTTACAGTGATTATTAATATATGAGGCTTTCTATTGTCATTCTGTCTTGTGTTTTCTCGTTCTATTTCCTGGTTTAATTTTTTTTTTTTAAATTTAGATAGAGCCTCCCTGGTGGCTCAAGGGGTTAAGATGCAGCGCTATGAAGCTATCCACAGCCACTGCAGCACGAGTTCCATCCCTGGCCAGTCAGGTGACCCACCTGGCACAGCAGACCTCTCCTGACTCGCCCACTGCTCCCCTTAGCAGTGTATTTCAGTCAGTCTGCCTGATTTGTTCCCCAGTCTGTCTCTGTTGAATCCTCACACCATCCCTCCCACCCCCACATCTCTGGCTTGTGCCCAGCTCTGTATGCATAAATAAATAAATCTTAAAAAAATAAATTTAGATAGAAGAAATCCTTTAAACATTTTATAAGAGTGGTTGAGAGTTGGGAAATCATTTTAGCTTTTATTTGTCTGGGAAAACCTTCATTTTTCCTTCATGTCTTAAAGAGTATTGCAGGATATAGTATTACTGGCTGGAAGGTTTTATCTTTGAATATTTTGCATGTGTCATTCCACTGTCCTTACCTGTAGAATTTCTTCTCAGAAGACTGATGAAAACCTGGTGGGAGTACCTTTACAAGTTATTTGCTTTTATTCCTATGGTTGTTTTTAATGTTCTTTCTTTGTCTTAAACTCTTGGTAGTTCCATTTGCTATGCGTCTTGGTGTAGGTCTCTGCATAACCAGATGTTCTTTTAGCTTCTTGGACTTAGATATTGAGTTCCTTTCCCAGCTTTGGGAGCTTTTTATCTCTTATTTCTCTGAATAAGTTTTCTGTTCCCTTTTCTCTCTCCCCCTCTTCTGGTTACTCATTATCTTTATGTTGCTTTTCCTAATGGAGGCAGATAGTTTTTGTAGCTTTCCTTCATTACATTAAAAAAAAAATTTCTCTTTTCCAATTGTAGATGACTGAGCTTACTGATGCATCTCTCTATTTGTTCTTTTCTGTTTTCCATAGCTTTCTGTAGTGCTCTCGGTCTCATTTATTGAGTTCTTCACATGCTGAATTCTTTTATTGTTTAAAGCTTCAATTTACTTGTGCTTGTTAATTTTTTCCTGAGCTCATTGTTTTGTTGTTCTGAGTATTGTTGTATCTCCTTGACAGGCTTTTCTGAGTTCTATTGTATAGACTTGCCTTTGTGAGCTCTCCTTCTCCTCTTTGAGTTTCTTTTTACATCTATTAGCTATTTTGAATTCAGTGTCTGGTAGGAAGTCATAATATTTTACGTCTTTGAGGTTGGATTCTGGAGAGTTGTTCTCTTTGTGATGTGATAGTCCCCTGAGGTCTCAAGTATGTGTTATTTTATCTGCCACTTTAGCTGCTTTAAGTTTCCCTGTTCTTTTCCTTTTTTTAATCTGGGTCAGTTATCAGTACTTAGAGAGTTGTACTACTTAATCTTTTACTTATCTAGTAAGTGACATTGTGGGTTTCTTTAAGTTTTAAATTTAGTTTTTATTATTTTTAGTTCCTACTGGCTTCCACTAGTATTTAGATTGGTATGAGCAGTTGCTGTGTCAGCAAGGTGGGGAGGGGTTTTGAAGGGACCAACTGCATTTTTGAACATGTTGGAGCTGGCACAGGCTGGTGTTTGTGGCATCACTGAGTCCCTCCTCTTTGGGATCCCAGATCTGAGACTTGGTAGTCTAACAAGGATGTCAGTTAGGATGTCAGTACCAGTCCTAAAGGATGGGGGAGGGAAGTGTATTTTATTTCATTTATTTTTTTTAAAGATTTTTTTATTTATGCAAACAAGAGCTGGGGTACAGGCCAGAGGTGTGGGGGTAAGAGGATTCACCAGAGACAGAGTGGGGAACAGACCAGGTGGATCAACCGAAATACATTGCTGAGGGGAGCAGCGGGCAAGACAGGAGAGGTCTGCTGTGCCATGTGGGTCACCTCCCTGGCTGGGGATCGAACTTGTGCTGTAGTGGCTGTGGATACCTTCATAGTGCTGACACTTAACCCCCTGTGCCACCAGGGAGGCCCCTGGTAGTGCAATTAGAGGGTTTTCTTTTTTTCTTCTTGCTGATGTCCTCATCTGTGTAGAGCATCCTAGCTCCTCCACTATGGGCCTCACTTGTGCCACACACCTGTTCTCTCCTCCCCAGGGCCCCTGATATACCCACAGTACTGCTGTCTGTGCTTCATCCTGACCACCCCTCCACACATTTCTCTTCAGCCAGCTACTGACAATGCATGGATCTCCTTGGTGTGCCACGTAGTATAGTTTTTGTTGTTCTTTGAGAGGTGAGGTGTTATTTTTCGTAAACGTTATATTTATGTTAACAGCTAATTCATAATAATGTGGTTATTCTTTTATTTAAAATTATTTTTTTTCTATTTTTTGCTGTTTACAAGATTAATTGGTCTTCGGGCATTTCAGAAATTATGAATTGATCCACTGTTCCCTCTTAGGAGAGGGGTAAACAAAATGGGATGTGTAGAGAGCTTTCAGAAGGGATTAATCATAGCTTTGGGAGTTGTGTGTATAGGGGTTGTCTGTGGACTTCTAGTGAGTCCAAGACCTGGGACACGATGGTGAGGGAAATCAGACATGGGGGACTGTCATGTCTAGCATGCAGTAAATCTTTTATTGTCTTAGTGCTCATTATATGCTATTTTAATTGCAGCAGGTGTAACATCAAAGCATACCATATAATGATAACATGTATGAGTGATTAGTCTATTTTCTTACTATTATCTATTTACTTCAGACAGTAGGGTACCAGGTGGTTAGTTCTCACGCATATAATCTTATCGCCCCCTAGCCAGAGCCTGGGAAAGTTCGCTCATTATTTTTGTTATTCTCAAACTGTGGAGATGTACGCAGGTCACTTCCAGGCTCTCAACACCAAGTCCTGTCACCCAGAGGTTTTCCTCCAAGATGCATGTGTTTTAACATGCCTTAGGGACTCGGGTCAAGGCCCTTCTGCTCACTGCGCAGGGTCTCTCCATTTTGTTATTCTCAGACTGTGGAGATGTAGAAGCCTGACTCCATGCAGGTCACTTTCCAGGCTCTCAACACCAAGTCCTGTCACTCAGAGGTTTTCCTCCGAGATGCATGTGTTTTCACATGCCTTAGGGACTTGGGTCAAGGCCCTTCTGCTCACTATGCGGGGTGTCCTCCAACAGTAGTCTCTGGGCATATTTGCATGTGGTATTATACTTCTGTGTTCACACAGTTCCTTTTAAGTGTCTTATGTCTTCAGTTTCTGAGCAGAGGAAGGCGGTTTTTCCTACACTATGAAGTAGAGAACTGGGGATCCAGACATCTTAAGTGAGGCATTGAGGGGTACACAGCAAGATTCAAGGTTCTTGCCTCCATTCCCTGCCTGGTGCCAATTTTTTTTATTAGGGCTCCTTCAGACATATGCAAGCTGCCTCAGACAAGACCGATTTCCCTCTCTCTCCTTCTGTAAGCCTATTTTAAAAATTCATGTCCAGTTGACTTACCATGTATATAAACGCTCAAATCTATCTTTTATTTTAAAACACAGTCTGTTCCTCTTCATGCCCTTATTCAGAGAGCCAGATTGATGGTGAGCCTGATGTGGCTCCAAATTGGGGTAACCGCTTGAAAAAAATGACTTTTGTCTACATTGGGTCAGTTTGCATTTTGGAGGTGGTTTCACTCACGCCCCTCTGTGTCTTCTTTAGTCCCACCTTAGACCCTGTAGTCACTCATCCTCTCTTCTGTGCAGTGATGCTCCAGCCCCCCCTGGATCCTGCATGTCCCCATTTGTCATGCATGCCTCCTTTTTATTAGTTTTAGACATTATTGAAAAATGAATAAATGCTTATAATATTTTTGTTTTGATTTCTAATATGGCAGTGATCAAAAACCCAAAAGAACTTTGTGTCCTCATGTTTTTTAAGGCTATAAAGGGAAGCTGAGATGCTAAAGTCTGAGACTGCTCCTGTACAATATGTTTGGGATGAGCTCTCAGACTTAGGCCGGTGACTCTGGATTACAGTTATCAGGAAACACCTTATTATAGTTGAGATTAGCTGTTGGCCCAGTTTCTATTCTGTTTGTTTGTGTTGTTTCAGTACTGTCTGAGTTATTTAAAAAAGTGTGCCACAGAGACCACCTATGTTTATGGAACCTAAGAATGGTAGGATGGGTAGTGGAGAATTAGAGCTATAGGCTGTTGCATTTGAATTACATAAGCAATAAGATTGGCAGAGCCTCCTTATTAATTGGATCTATATTGTTTGTGATTAAACTTATTCTATCTATAATATCCCCTTTTCCTTAAAGAAGAAGTGATGTACATTACAGGGAAACATCAGTGGATTTTCAAAAGTTATCAAATTTGGCCTTTCTTAGAATAATATGCCATCTAATAACCTCAACTGGGTTGACCATGACTTTAGTATTCGGATATAAGCTCATTGCTAGATGATCGTCGTTTGTCAGATTTCACAGAGGAAATGTTGACTGCCTGTTAAGAGCTTTGATTCTGGTGTCAGACAGATCACTGCTTTTTGCTAGCTGTATCATTGTGGACTTGTATATAACTCAGATAACCTCAGTTTACTAATTTGTGCATTGGGGACAATAATATACACTTCACACTCATTATTAAATGAGATAATGCCTATATAAATGAAGTCCTTAAAACATTACCTAACAGTTAATTATAAATGTGAGATGCTATTATGACATTATCATAATCCTACGTTAAGGTTTAAATGAGGAAAGCTCTAAAGAGCCCTGAATTTCAAACCAATTACTGTTACTTATTAACAATTCAGGAATTTTTTTAAATACTTCAAGAACATAGAACAAATGGAAAGAACATGGAAAAAAGTTGTTGAGTTACATGGAATAGTTTTCTGAATTTGTTTTGATATGTTGGAACCAGTTTGTGTCATTGACATGCAGCTTCTTACTATAGCTACTTGTGTGCAGGACTTCTCTTGTAGTTCGTCTGAAGCAGCTTTGGGTTTATAGTTATTTGTGTACAGGATGTCTCTTTCAGTTCGTCTGAAGTACCGTTAGGTTTGTGTGTTTGTCTTATTCTTATCTGCTAGTAATGAATGAAGATGGTATAGCAGAATACAGTAGTAAGACTTTGGGATTTAAAATCACATGAAACCCACTTCTAGTTCAATGCTAAAATTTATGAGTGCTTTGCAAGGACCTGGTTATCTCAACTGTAATATAGAGATAAATGTCTATTTCACAGGGTTGTTAGGTAATTATTGAAAAATATATGAAAGCACTTTGTAAATCAAGATGAATGATACCAATGTTATTTGTTATCTTCAGTCATAAACATTTGTTGACTGAAGGTAAAAATGGTAAAAAACAAAGCAGAATTTGGGCCTCCTCTGGTGGCGCAGCGGTTGCGCACTGGGCTGTGAAGCTTCCTGCAGCCACTGCAGCACCGGTTTGTTCCCGGCCACCGGCTAGGGTCCCACATGGCACGCAGACCTCTCCTGCTGCCCGCTGCTCCCCTCAGCAGTGTATTTTGTCAGTCTGCCTGTTCTGTTCCCCGCTCTGGCTCTGGTGAATTCTCTCACCCTCCCGTGTTTCTGACTGTACCCAGTGCTTGTATAAATAAATAAATGAATCTTTAAAAAAAAAAAAAAAAGCAAAATTTTATGGTTTCATTAAATTTCAAACTTATTTCTATCTTAAACACAATATAGATACAACTGAACTCATAGATTCTCAACTTCAAGATGCTATTCAGAAGATGAAGAGGCTTGATAAGATATTGGTGAAAAGACAAAATAGAGAAAAAGAAATTAAGAAGCAAGGTCTAGAATTGAGACTGAAACTGTGGGAAGAACTTAAGGTAAGAATTCTATAGCCATATATTGACATGTAAAAAGCAATTTCCTCTTAAGATGTTAGAGAAGGATGTACTGTGATAGTGTTAATGCAGTCTGCTTTTATTGATGTATTTGTAGCTAGAGTGACAGTGGTGTGTATATATATTACGGAGGGGAGGTGAGGAAGGTATCTTTTTGAACCAAAGATGGTAGCTTTGCAGTATACCAGATGTCCGGCATTCACTGTGCTGCGGGGTTCATTCCCTGGAAAGCCCTGCAGGCCTCTCTTACAAGTATCAGGCTGGGTCTCCTGCATCTCAGGCACAGAGAAGGATTTTGGTGCCTCCTTTCAACTATACATGTCTGCTTTTCCTTCAGTAGGTTTAGAGTTGAGAGATAAACACAAATATATAAAATATTACCCCTCTGGTTCCCATTGTTATTTGAAGGAACTTTTATGACTAACTAGTGGGAGAATCCTCTGTTTCATGTGCTGGTCAAGACCTCTACAGGAGCTGTAAAGTGCTTACGTATGGGATCATGCTGTATTTCCTTCTATCTCAGTAAATATCTGGTACGCAGCTAACTTTCCAGCATTATTGCACCTCCTGTTGTCTGTAGTATTGAGGGATGGAAGCTGACCAGATGTTGGTACTGAATTTTGCCCCTCAAAGAGCATTTTTTTGGAAAATATTTTATTTTATGTGTTTTTTACATCATTTTTCATTTTTGCATAATATATACATTTTCATCTTGGTTATAGTCCCCATAAAATTCCCACCCGCCTTGTTTTGATCCTACCCCCTTCTTCCCTCCCCCACCCCCGTAGCATGCCTCTGATTTATAGTTTCTTGTTGATTTTAATTTTTACTTTATTGTAATTAGTCTTTTTCCTGGTCCCTTATTTAGGTTTTCTCAATTCCTGCTCTGAGTGAGACCATCTGGTATTTTTCTTTTTTTATCTGGCTTATTTTGCTGAGCATGATCTCTTCCAGCTCCATCCACATTGCTGCAAATTGCAGAAGTATCTGTTTTGATTGCTGAGTAATATTCCTTTGTGTGTATGTCCCACATCTTCTTGATCCAGGCATCTATTTTGGGACACTTTGGTTGGTTGTTTCCATGGTTGTTTCCATAGCTTAGCTATTGTAAATAGTGCTGCAATAAACATAGGGTTGCAGGTGCCCTTGTGAGTTAATGTTTCTGTGTCCTTTGGGTAAATACCTAGGAGTGGAGTTGCTGGATCATATGGAAGCTCCATCTTTAGCACATTGAAGAATCTCCACACTGCTCTCCATAGTGGTTGGACCAGTTTGCACTCCCACCAGCAGTGCAGGAGGGTTCCTTTTTCTCCACATCCTCGCCAACATTTGTTGTTGCTAGTTTTTTTTTTTAATATGTGCCATTCTCACTGGTGTAAGATGGTATCTCATTGTAGTTTTGATTTGCATGTCCCTGATTTACAAGTGATGTTGAACATTTTTTCATACGCTTGTTGGCCATTTGCTTTTCCTCTTTTGAGAAGTTTCTTTTTAGCTCTTCTTCCCATTTTTTGATTGGGTTATTTACATTGTTTTTGTTGAGTCTTGTCAGCTCTTTGTAGATTGTTGTGATCAGTCCTTTATCATTAGTGTTGGGTGCAAAAATTTTCTCCCAATTGGTGGGGTGTCTCTTTGTTTTGCTTACTATCTCTCTTGCTGTACAGAAGCTCTCAAAGAGCACTTTTTTTAAAAAATTTTAATTTTATTTTTATATTCCCCATACAATTGCAACCCCCTTATTTTGACCCCAATCCCTCCTTTCCCTGTCCCCCCCCAACCCCCCATAGAGTGTCTCTGGTTCATAGTTGTTTGTTGATTTTGATTTTTACTTTCTTATAGTTATTCTTTTTACTGGCCTCTTATTTAAGTTTTCTAGATTCCTGCTATGAGTGAGACCATCCGGTATTTTTCTTTTTCTTTTTGGCTTATTTCGCTGAGCATGATCCCTTCCAGCTCCATGTTCCTGCAAATTGCATGTGTTTATCTTTTTTGAATGATGAGTAATATTCCATGGTGTATATGTACCACATCTTCTTGATCCAGTCATCTATTTTTGGGCATTTGGGTTGTTTCCAAATCTTAGCTATTGTAAATAGTGCTGTTATAAACTTGGGTGTGCAGGTGCTCTTTGGAATTGATGTTTCAGGGTCCTTTGGGTAAATACCTAGGAGTGGAATTGTTGGATCATATGGAAGCTCTATTTCTTGGTCAAGAAATCTCCACACAGCTCTCCATAGTGGTTGGACCAGTTTGCACTCACACCAACAGTGCTGAGAGTTCCTTTTTCTCCACAACCTCGCCAACATTTGTTGTTGCTAATTTTTTAATATGTGCCATTCTCACTGGTGTCAGCTGGTATCTCACTGTAGTTTTGATTTGCATTTCCCTGATTACAAGTGATGTTGAACATTTTTTCATATGCCTGTTGGACATTTGCATTTCCTCTTCAGAGAAGGTTCTTTTTAGCTCTCTCAAAGAGCACTTTTAAGGTAAGGACCATTGTAATAGCTGATTGGTTGTTTTTGATAAATTTATCCTTAATCAATTGGCTGACTTCTGAGGAAATTTCTTGTATGACAATATGAATTAATATTGAAGAAATTAAAAAGGTTCCCAGGAAGACCTTTGGATTGGAAATAAAGAATTGTACAAAATGCTATGCTTCAAACTAGAGAAATAAATATCTATAACTTATTCTTACTGAATGTCTATAATTTTTTATTGTAGGGAAACAGTATTAATCTTGAAGTGTGTGAAATTATTTGATGGTATTCCTTTGGGTTACCCATTAGTTACAGAAATATTAAATAGAAACTTAAGAAACTTGAAACCAGGCAATTATCATACAGTGATAGACATATATATTCTAACTCTGTCTGGGAATACTAACAATTTTATGGGAACAGGAAGCACTGTAAGATTCCCTAACTAAAGAAATAAAAATTATCCAAACCTTCTTGTTTGTATTTATATAAACATATAAACTTGTTAGAATTATTGGAAACCATGTTGGAATTTAAAAAAAATTAGTAAGTGTATTTGCCTCCCCTCCTCCCCCCCCCCCCCGTGTTTTATTAGTCTGCAAAAATAAGTGAAGCTTTGCAAAGTAATGAGGAGACAGAAAATACAAAAAAGTTTCTGGCTTTAACTACCACATCAGAAGAAATTGTTGGTGAGTGAAACTGATTTATCTTTATTTTTATCTTAGAGTCATAGACTATTTAAAGTAAAATTCACAATTCAAGTATCGTTTCTCTTTTCTCTGTGAGTTTAACTTTTCTTTCGGGGCAGTGATCACGTTTGGTAGGATTATATGGGTCTCCCCTGAGCTTGCATGTGCTTCAGTCTTCAAGGGTGAGAGGCTAGGACAGTAGCAATCAGGAAATGGACAGTGTGTCTGTTCTGACCTTACTTTCTGTGTGTCTCAGATGCCTTGAGACACCGAGCTTATGCAGCGTCCCCTGACTACCTCGGGTCTTCCCTTGAGGTTTCTCACTCAGTCTTCTGCAGCCCCTTTTCCAAAAGTTCATTGCTTATTGAAGTCCTATTTCTGGCCCTCTTTTCAGCCCTGTTTTTCAAGACCAGCTAATTCATTCTGCACTTATCTTTCTAATTCCCTTGTGTGATGATACATTTGTGAATTTTCCCCTCCTCCTTCCCTCTCTTTCTCTTCCTACTTCTCCTCTTCCTCCCTTCTTCCCTAACCTTCCCCTCTTCCTCCTCCTCTTCTTCCTCCTCTTCTTCCAAAAGTATATGGAGTACCTTTAATTTCCTTAGATAGTGGTAACAATTTTCGGGGTTGGGAGACAGTTGGTATTTATTGGCAGTACCCTTGGATTCCGCTAGCACATGTAAGTGGTCACCTGGTATTACTAGGTCATTAGACTGACTCCCAGCAGGAGCCTCGATTTCTCTGATAATCCTTAAATCTGTTTATCTGATATGAAGTGAATGTCTATCGTTGTAGAATTGTAAGAACCTGCATCAGGCTACTGCACCTCTTTAGCTTGGGCTTTGATTTGATACGGATGAAATTCCTTCAGTTTGTTCCTTTCTGGGTCTGGTATTGGGAGCTGAGCTTTGCTTGGGTGTATCTCTGTGCAGAGGGAGGATGATGCGCGCCAGTTCCCTTGTGTGGTGAGTTCAGTAGTATCCCCTCAAACTTCATGTCCACTTGGAATCTCACAATGTAACCTTATTTGGAAATATGATCCTTGCAGATGCAGTTAGCTGAAATCAGGTCACACGGTGTTAGAGTAGCTTTAAATCCAGTGGCAGGTGTCCTTATAAGAGAGGGGAAAACATAGAAAGATGCAGAGACAGAGTGACAAGGGAAAAAGGCCATGAGAAGACAGAGGCAGAGATTGGAGCGATGTAGCAACAAGCCAAGGGTTTCCAAGGATTTCCTTCAGCCGCTAGAGGCTACAAAAGCAAGGAAGGATTCATCCCTAGAGACTTTGGGCAAGCATGGCCTGCTATTTTAGATGTCCAATTTCCAGAAATGTTAGGGAATACATTCACAACATTTTCAGCCACCCAACCCTTTAGAGCTTGTTACAGCAGTCCTAGGTATCTAATACAGCAGATGGTTCCCTCTATCTCAGCGTAGGCACCAGAGATAGGAAGGAGCAACCCTAAATATTGTATCCGCAGCAAAGATCAGTAGAAAATAGGCAGAGCTAGACCTGTGGCTCCAGTTAAGCTGCTCCAGCGATCTCCCACCAAATACAGTCACCTTAGTTGTGGCCTCATTCATGGTAGACTGAGACAAATAGTTCTTGCTGGGTCCCTCAAATTACTGACCCTGAGAATCACGAACATAATAAAATGATCATTGTTTCATGCCACAAGGTTTTAAGAAACTTTTAATTTTGAATTAATTTTAAACTTGTACAAAAGCTACACAATAAACCACAAGAGTCCTATATAATTTCCACCCAGCTTCTCCTGAAGTTAACCTCTTCTATCACCGTAGTACAATGATCAAAAGGTAGAAATTAACACTGGATATGATACTGTTAAACTTGTTAAAATTTCACCAGTTTTTGCATTAATGACCTTTTTATTTTCTAGTATCCTATTCAAGATTCCCATATTGCCTTTGTTTGTTGTCACATGTCTTTTGTCTATGTCAGTCTGTAGTGGATCCTCAGTCTTTCATGATTTTGACATGTTTGGAGAGTCTAATCAGTTATTTTGTGAAATATCCCTCAATTTCAGCTCATTTGATATTTTCTCTTGATTACATAGAGGCTATGCATTTGGTGAAGGATACCGCAGAAGTTATGTGTCTTATCAGTCAGTCCCCCTTTGGTTCCCTAATGCTGATGTATCTTTTTACTGGTGATCTTTTTTTTTTTTCTTAAAGATTTATCTTATTTATTTATACAAACGCTGGGTATAGTCAGAAGCATGGGAGGGTGAGAGAATTCACCAGAGCCAGAGTGGGGAGAAGAGCAGGCAGACTGATGGAAGTACACTGCTGAGGGGAGCAGTGGGCCGCAGGAGAAGTCTGCGCACCATGTGGGACCCTCGCCTGGTGGCAGGGGATCGAACCAGCGCTGCAAAGGCTGCAGGCAACTTCACAGCCCCGTGCTCAACTGCTGCGCCACTGGGGAGGCCCTTTACTGGTTATCTTAACCTGGAAAACGTGCTTCGGGTGGTATCTGCTGACTTTGTTCACTGTAAAGTTACTATTTTACCTTTTACAATGAATAAATATCTTGAGGGAGACACTCTAAGACTACACGATATCCTTTTCTCTCCTCAAACTTTTGCCCACTGATTTTAGCATCTGTTGCTAGATCTTGCCTGCAGTATTTGTTACTGTATGCCACTAAATTATAGATGATTTTGAAATGCAACAGTAGAAGATAGGAATGATTTACATCAGCATCATGTTAAATGGTTGTGTATTTATTCACTATATGGGTGTATTCTCATTTGTTTAACTGACACCCTGCTGTTAAACATTTAGATCATTTCTTTCGTTTTTTAATGATACATAATGCTGGAATAACATCCTTAGATGGTGATTCCATTACTACCTTCTATGGTAGGCAGACATCCCCCACAGCCCCTGAGAGCTATCCAAGCCAACTCACTAGAAGCTGTGAATGTAATCTTCTGTGGGGAAGGGTCTTTGCTTATGTGATTAAGGTAAGGATCATAAAATGAGCAGATAATCTTGGAATATGAATGTAGGGCCTAAATCCCACCACAGATATCCTTACAAGGAAGGGACAGAGAGAGATGAGTCACACAGAAGAGGAGAAGGGGATGTAAAGATGAGGCAGAGATTGCAGTGATGTGGTCTCAACCGCAAGGATGCTGGCCACCACTCGAAACTGGACGGGGCAAGGAGCAGAGTGTCACCAAGGACCCTTGGAGGAGTGTGGCCTTACTGACACCTTGATTTCAGATTTCTCGCCTCCGGAACCATGAGAATGACTTCCAGTGTTTTCAGCCACCAAATTTGCGGTCATTTGTGATAGCAGCTCTAGAAAGGGAATGCCTCTTTGAATAAATTCCTGCCAGGAGAAACTACTTTGTTAAAGGCATCGGACTGTTGAAAGATTTTTATCTATATTGACTCATTGAAAGGTTTACTTATGTAGACTCCCACCAACATAGTATCTGAGTACTGTTTTCCTCTACCCAAACCACAGTGGGTTTTGTAATTGTGGGAAAGCTTTGTTTATGAAAATGGAATCACAATAATTTGTAATTTGTATCTCTGGTTATCAGGGAGGCTGAATATTTATTTTATGACTTATTTGTTCTTTTATAAAGTGAGGTGTTCCTTTTAATGATTTGAAGTCTTTTTTTTTTTTTGCTAATTTTAAAAATTGTGTTTGTTTATGGAGGAGACGTTGTTTTTAAAAACACTGTCAATGTAAAAATAAAAACAACACTGTGAATGATTTGGGATCTAGGTTCATCCCTTTCAGATGTATATTACCACATTCCACTCACCACCAAAGTACCCATATTCCTTCCCCATAGTCCTTCCCCCAGCAGTAATCCTGGGTGCTCAGCTCTGGTGGCCTCAATCCTACAGTAAGATTGGTAGGGTTTGTTTTGGTTTAGTTGTATCTGTTCCTTTACATTTCACCCATGAGTGAAATCAGACAGTGTTTGCCTTTCTTTTGAAGGACTCCTTTCCATATTAAGGGCCCTAATAATTTGTCATAAATATCTAAAACATTTTTTCTAACTTTTTTGTTTTGTGGTATTTGCTTTATGAAGTTAAATTTTTTAAATTAGTCATTTCATGTATGTTATTGCTAATTGTTGCTGTGCTCAAAAAAGGCCTATTTATTGAGAACGTTTCTATTTATTTATTTCCTTACTGTATTTTTTAAATTGAGATAATGTTAGTACAACACCATAAATCATTCAGAGCATAGGTTCACACCTCTTCAGATGTACGTTCCCACCCCATGTCCACCATCAAGGCTCTCATAGTCCTCCAGCATAGCCCCTCCACACTGTGCTTCCCCACTCCCTACTTGCCCTGTCTGGTAGCCTCAGTTCTGCAGTTAGATCTTTAGGGTTTCCTTTAGTTTGTTTTTTGTTTATTCCTTTGTTTTATTTCTCTGTATTTCACACATAGTGACACAATCTGATGTTTGTTTTTCTCCTTATCTGTTTATAATCCCTTCCAGTTCCATTCATGTAGTTGCAATGACAAGATTTCATCTTTTTTTCCAACTGCTGAGTAGTATTCAATTATGAATACATACCATTTTTTTGAGGTAACAATGGATTAGAACATTGTATATGATTTAGAGGTCTAGCATCACATCCTTCAGGTGTATGTTATCATGCTACCTCTGCCACGAAGGCATCAATAGTCCACCATAGTTGGTTGTGCCTCCTCCTCACTTTGCTCTCTCTCTACTCCCCCTGTAGCCTCAATTCTGCAGTCAGATTTCTTGAATTTGTTACTGGTTTGGTTTTATCTGACCCTTTGTTTTGTTTCTCTGTTTTCCACCTGTAACTGACATGTTTGTCTTTCTCCTTCTGACATGTTTTGTTTAGCACAATCCCCTCTTGTTCCATCCATGTTACTGCAAAGGCAAGGGTTTATTATTATCATCATCATTATTATTGTTATTTAAGATTTATTTATTTATTTATACAAGAACTGGGGTACAGGTCAGAAGTGCA